ACTCACACTCACACTCACACTCACACTCACCGCTCACCGCTCACACACTCACACTCACGCACACGCACACACACACTCACACACACAGACTCACACTCACACTCACACACACACACACACAGACTCACACTCACACTCACACTCACACTCACCGCTCACCGCTCACACACTCACACTCACGCACACGCACACACACACTCACACACTCACCGCTCACTTCCTCTTCTGAGTCTTCCTCTTTGAAGTCCGCTGCACACAGAGCAAAAACAGAGCAAAAACAGAGCAAAAACCTGAGACTATTTCAGACATTTTACCAGAAGTCGGACCAAACCAGTCTGACACTGGTCTGACACTGGTATGGCATTTACATTTGGCCCAAAAGATGACCGCAAACCCAGGTTCTGCTGAATGTGTAAGTAGAGCTCTAAACCTAAAGATATATATAAGTCACATGTTTAACTTCAGATATGGCTGAATGCAGCTTGAGCTTTTGAGCTAATCAAAGATGCTAATTAATGCACAGAAGGATACTGTATGGAAGCTAATGAGCTAATATTGTTTTTGCTTTTCTGAAATATTTAGCTGCATTTCATTTGCTAATGCTTTATTTGGTAGCACGTTTCATAATCATATTTTTAATCTTTTTAACGGCTACTGCTATATACTATACATGTCACGGTTCTTGATGTTTGCACCTGTTTTGATATTTATGTTTTCTCACATGACAACATTTCTGCTAACTTTGTAGCTTAACTTCTATAGAATCTTTTCCTTTTTCTGAAACTGACCCAGAAAATGACCAGGGTAGAATGATCCAGTTGCACTGCAGTAGGTGCTGTAGTATGGTTACTGAGTATAGATGCTGTCTTTATCTTTTCCATACTGAGAGCTGATTGGCTGGTCAGGGTGGTCCAATCTTTTTTACTTTTCTGTCTGAAAATCTGATCTAAAAAAGTGAAAAACTAGTAATAGAACTAAACCGTATTAAAAGAGAAAGTTTCATGGATTTCAAGTTTGAGAGCTATGGCAAAGTTGCTTTTAATTATTATTTGGTTTATTTGAGGAGGGACAGATACCAAAATCATAGACAATCTGTCACACAGTCTGGTGCATCCAGGGGCCTACAGTCTGGTGCATCCAGGGGCCTACAGTCTGGTGCATCCAGGGGCCTACAGTCTGGTGCATCCAGGGGCCTACAGTCTGGTGCATCCAGGGGCCTACAGTCTGGTGCATCCAGGGGCCTACAGTCTGGTGCATCCAGGGGCCTACAGTCTGGTGCATCCAGGGGCCTACAGTCTGGTGCATCCAGGGGCCTACAGTCTGGTGCATCCAGGGGCCTACAGTCTGGTGCATCCAGGGGCCTACAGTCTGGTGCATCCAGGGGCCTACAGTCTGGTGCATCCAGGGGCCTACAGTCTGGTGCATCCAGGGGCCTACAGTCTGGTGCATCCAGGGGCCTACAGTCTGGTGCATCCAGGGGCCTACAGTCTGGTGCATCCAGGGGCCTATAGCCAAAGGTAATTCCCGGCACTCGTCCCTAGAAAACGAGATACAGTAGAGAAAAGAAAAACATATGACAAGTACAAAGTTGGAAACAAAACAGGGAGACAGTTGCACAGAACACTATAAAACACAGAACACTATAAAACACAGAACACTATAAAACACAGAACACTATAAAACACAGAACACTATAAAACACAGAACACTATAAAACACAGAACACTATAAAACACAGAACACTATAAAACACAGAACACTATAAAACACAGAACACTATAAAACACAGAACACTATAAAACACAGAACACTATAAAACACAGAACACTATAAAACACAGAACACTATAAAACACAGAACACTATAAAACACAGAACACTATAAAACACAGAACACTATAAAACACAGAACACTATAAAACACAGAACACTATAAAACACAGAACACTATAAAACACAGAACACTATAAAACACAGTAATCAGGAAAAAACACAGTAAATGACATTAATAATGCAGCACTTTCAAGTCTCTCCGCTGCTTTACAGCCGTGCTCACCTGCTCATTACTTCTTTGTGAGCTTGTTAGCACTCTCCGCTGTTAGTGTGTGTTAGTGTGTTAGTGTGTTAGTGTGTGTTAGTGTGTTAGTGTGTGTTAGTGTGTTAGTGTGTGTTAGTGTGTGTTAGTGTGTGTTAGTGTGTTAGTGTGTTAGTGTGTTAGTGTGTTAGTGTGTTAGTGTGTGTTAGTGTGTTAGTGTGTGTTAGTGTGTGTTAGTGTGTTAGTGTGTGTTAGTGTGTGTTAGTGTGTTAGTGTGTGTTAGTGTGTTAGTGTGTGTTAGTGTGTGTTAGTGTGTTAGTGTGTTAGTGTGTGTTAGTGTGTTAGTGTGTGTTAGTGTGTTAGTGTGTGTTAGTGTGTTAGTGTGTTAGTGTGTGTTAGTGTGTGTTAGTGTGTTAGTGTGTGTTAGTGTGTTAGTGTGTGTTAGTGTGTGTTAGTGTGTGTTAGTGTGTGTTAGTGTGTGTTAGTGTGTTAGTGTGTTAGTGTGTGTTAGTGTGTGTTAGTGTGTGTTAGTGTGTGTTAGTGTGTTAGTGTGTGTTAGTGTGTTAGTGTGTGTTAGCGTGTTAGTGTGTGTTAGTGTGTTAGCGTGTTAGTGTGTGTTAGCGTGTTAGTGTGTTAGTGTGTGTTATTGTGTTAGTGTGTGTTAGTGTGTGTTAGTGTGTGTTAGCGTGTTAGTGTGTGTTAGCGTGTTAGTGTGTGTTAGTGTGTGTTGGTGTGTTAGTGTGTTAGTGTGTGTTAGCGTGTTAGTGTGTTAGTGTGTGTTATTGTGTTAGTGTGTGTTAGTGTGTGTTAGTGTGTGTTAGCGTGTTAGTGTGTGTTAGCGTGTTAGTGTGTGTTAGTGTGTGTTGGTGTGTTAGTGTGTTAGTGTGTGTTAGCGTGTTAGTGTGTTAGTGTGTGTTAGCGTGTTAGTGTGTGTTAGCGTGTTAGTGTGTGTTAGTGCGTGTTAGTGTGTGTTAGCGTGTGTTAGCGTGTTAGTGTGTGTTAGTGTGTGTTAGCGTGTTAGTGTGTGTTAGTGTGTTAGTGTGTGTTAGCGTGTTAGTGTGTGTTAGTGCGTGTTAGTGTGTGTTAGCGTGTGTTAGCGTGTTAGTGTGTGTTAGCGTGTTAGTGTGTGTTAGTGTGTGTTGGTGTGTTAGTGTGTTAGTGTGTGTTAGCGTGTTAGTGTGTTAGTGTGTGTTAGCGTGTTAGTGTGTGTTAGCGTGTTAGTGTGTGTTAGTGTGTGTTAGCGTGTTGGTGTGTTAGTGTGTGTTAGCGTGTTAGTGTGTGTTAGTGTGTTAGTGTGTGTTAGCGTGTTAGTGTGTGTTAGCGTGTTAGTGTGTGTTAGCGTGTTAGTGTGTGTTAGCGTGTTAGTGTGTGTTAGCGTGTTAGTGTGTTAGCGTGTTAGTGTGTGTTAGTGTGTGTTAGCGTGTTAGTGTGTGTTAGCGTGTTAGTGTGTGTTAGCGTGTTAGTGTGTTAGCGTGTTAGTGTGTGTTAGCGTGTTAGTGTGTGTTAGCGTGTTAGTGTGTGTTAGCGTGTTAGTGTGTGTTAGTGTGTGTTAGCGTGTTAGTGTGTGTTAGCGTGTTAGTGTGTGTTAGTGTGTGTTAGCGTGTTAGTGTGTGTTAGCGTGTTAGTGTGTGTTAGCGTGTTAGTGTGTGTTAGCGTGTTAGTGTGTGTTAGCGTGTTAGTGTGTTAGCGTGTTAGTGTGTGTTAGCGTGTTAGTGTGTGTTAGCGTGTTAGTGTGTGTTAGCGTGTTAGTGTGTGTTAGCGTGTTAGTGTGTTAGCGTGTTAGTGTGTGTTAGCGTGTTAGTGTGTGTTAGCGTGTTAGTGTTGCCTGGCCTGCCAAACGATATGCTTTTTCAAAGACATTAAGGCTATATCCACACGAAGACAAAACGCTTATAATTTCAGAAACTTTTTCTGTAAACACGGAGTTAGCTCAGTAAATGTGTGCATCCATATGAATGTAGTCAATACGCCTGAAAACGCTGTGAAACTATGCCAGACCTGTTGGTGGCGCTGTGACGCAATGACGGGATCAAGCCCAAACTTCCGTGACGGGAACTGGGCATGTGCAGAATGTTGTAAACAGACAACATGGCGAGTGGGCGAGCTGGTACTACATTAGTATGGACGGACGATGAGGTTGAACTGTTGCTTCGGGTCGCACTGGATTACAAAACCAACAAGCTACATTGTTGTTGTCATTATTTTCTGAGTGCGGCGCATGCTGCTTTAACAAGAGGCGGGGCGATGACGCGTCTCAGATACATTGCGGAGAGGCAGTAACCACGGAGCGGCATATACGGAGTTTTGAAATCTTTCCACTCTGGGACCTACTTTCAAAAATGTTCGTTTACACCCCCCCAAAACGCCGGCCTCGTATGGACGATACACTGGATTGATAAAGTATTTTTGCGTTTAGGCCTGAGCTTGACTTCGTGTGGACAGGGCCACAGTCTGGGAACGAGCTTGATCTCAGCGAATTCCCGGTGGGCGTGGTTGACAGACTGCATCAACCAATTAGATGCACACAGGATATGACGCAGCAACTAGCGGCACCCAAGCCGTTTCAGTAAACACAAAACAAGGGATGGCGGCATGTCAGCTAGTGCAAATGTAAACGACTGCTGTCGATTTTGTAACAAAAACTTAAAGATACGAGGAGTTATTAGCAACTCAAAGGTGAAAGGAAGTCCCGCCTCTCGGTGCGTGATTGGACCGATGAGGTGTCCAGACGGTTCTTCTTTTGAACAGAAAGGAGGAGTGTCTGGCAGGCCAGGCAACAGCAGGTGTGTGTCAGTGTGTGTCAGTGTGTGTCAGTGTGTGTCAGTGTGTGTTAGTGTGTGTTAGTGTGTGTTAGTGTGTGTTAGTGTGTGTCAGTGTGTGTTAGTGTGTGTCAGTGTGTGTTAGTGTGTGTTAGTGTGTGTTAGTGTGTGTCAGTGTGTGTCAGTGTGTGTTAGTGTGTGTTAGTGTGTGTCAGTGTGTGTTAGTGTGTGTCAGTGTGTGTTAGTGTGTGTTAGTGTGTGTTAGTGTGTGTCAGTGTGTGTTAGTGTGTGTTAGTGTGTGTTAGTGTGTGTTAGTGTGTGTCAGTGTGTGTTAGTGTGTGTCAGTGTGTGTTAGTGTGTGTTAGTGTGTGTCAGTGTGTGTCAGTGTGTGTTAGTGTGTGTTAGTGTGTGTCAGTGTGTGTCAGTGTGTGTCAGTGTGTGTCAGTGTGTGTTAGTGTGTGTTAGTGTGTGTTAGTGTGTGTCAGTGTGTGTTAGTGTGTGTCAGTGTGTGTTAGTGTGTGTTAGTGTGTGTTAGTGTGTGTCAGTGTGTGTCAGTGTGTGTTAGTGTGTGTTAGTGTGTTAGTGTGTTAGTGTTGTGTGGTTGGGGGTGTTTGCTGCTGTGATTGTGTGCAGACCCTCTGGACCCATTGCCGCTCTCTCTGCGTCCCACTAACAAGCTAATAACAAGCTAATAACAAGCTAATAACAAGCTAATAACAAGCTAATAACAAGCTAATAACAAGCTAATAACAAGCTAATAACAAGCTAATAACTGTACGTAGCTCTTTGCTACTGTGTGTATTACGCACATGTGTGGAGCCAGACAGAGAGTTAGACGCTTTTTTTCTGTTTCTTAGGAAATGACGACGTTGGACCCCTGTGCAAACGCTCCCCCCACTCCACCTGAAGAGCCCCCCCCCTTCCCCGACAAAAAACCACGACGGAGGGTGGAGCCCACGGGAAGGAGTAAAGGTGGGGGTCTGACCAGACTGTGTGAGTCTGTTATATATAATGTATATAACTAACTGACTAAGGTTAAATGTTTTATATTATATATAATGTATATAACTAACTGACTAAGGTTAAATGTTTTATATTATATATAATGTATATAACTAACTGACTAAGGTTAAATGTTTTATATTATATATAATGTATATAACTAACTGACTAAGGTTAAATGTTTTATATTATATATAATGTATATAACTAACTGACTAAGGTTAAATGTTTTATATTATATATAATGTATATAACTAACTGACTAAGGTTAAATGTTTTATATTATATATAATGTATATAACTAACTGACTAAGGTTAAATGTTTTATATTATATATAATGTATATAACTAACTGACTAAGGTTAAATTTTTTATATTATATATAATGTATATAACTAACTGACTAAGGTTAAATGTTTTATATTATATATAATGTATATAACTAACTGACTAAGGTTAAATTTTTTATATTATATATAATGTATATAACTAACTGACTAAGGTTAAATGTTTTATATTATATATAATGTTTCCAGGAGACTGAAGTGGATTTAGATCAGAGGAAGTGTTTTATCAGCGGGACACAGTGACCTAGACCTATTAAACCATGTGTGGTTAATGGTCCAAACTCACTCATCACTAATATATAAATACATATATATATAAATATATAAAAATCTCTTTAGCAACTGTTGTTATGTTTTCCTACATTTTCAGAAACTTAACGTCCTGCTTCATTCTAGATCTTCAAAAGTAACTTTTTACAAATGGATAGTTATCTGTTGCTATGGTGACAGCTCAGGTGGAGATATGTAGATGAAACAGTATTAATCAATGGTGTCTGAGGGTCCAACATGGCCACAGAGTCAGTCTCATTAACGCTCTGTTGTTTTCAGATGATCTAGAAGAGCAGGACTCTTCCACAGAGGTGAGGAGCAGCGTCTCTACACTGGTCCCTCTGCATGATTCCTCTGTGACCTCTGACCTCTGTGTACCAGGAGCAGACAGAGGAGCAGAGTGGGAGGCTGCGGAGGAGGACCACCCCCAGAGTCCCGTATCAGGCTGGAGACCCGGACTACGTCAGCCGCAGACAGAAGGAGGAGTGGCTCAGTCGCTGGAAGATGGAGGTGGGACCTACCGAGATTATAATCTGTTTATAATCTGTTTATGATGTTTTATGTAGAGAGGATGGAAGAGTTTTAATTATTCTAAATCATTTAAAACTATTTTTATTATGATGATTCTTGTGCTGCTTTAAAGGAGGTGCTTCTGGACGGATATAACGTTGGTTTTACAGTTTTTTGAGCCTGTTTCCAAAATACTAAATAAAATGTATTCAGAATATTTTTGACCAATAAATATGTTTTAAAAGGTTTCTTACAATGACATTCTTTTTGTCTTTGATGTGATTTCACTTAAAACATAAAATATTGTACTTTTTCAACACATCGAGTTTCTGATATCTCAAAAAATAACAGTTTCACTTTGAGAAATGACTGATGTTTTGATTTACCTGCATAAGCGTGGGTTCAGGCTCTGTGTTTCTCTGGGTGGGTTTCCTCCGGGCGCTCCAGTTTCCCCAAGCACCCAAAGCATGCACCAAATAACTAGGAAGGCGTCATTCACATAAACAACTGGAGATGTTTATGTGAACAGTGCAGATAGAGCACAGGGAAGTTTGTATGTGATTAGAGCTGTTGTCAGAAAGAAGAGAGGAGAGAGAGAGAGACCAGAGAGAGAGAGACCAGAGAGAGGAGAAGAGAGAGAGAGACCAAGAGAGAGAGGAGAGAGAGAGGAGAGACCAGAGAGAGAGGAGAGAGAGAGGAAGAGAGAGAGAACCAGAGAGAGAACCAGAGAGAGAGAGACCAGAGAGAGGAGAGAGAGAGAGGACAGAGAGAGGAGAGATAGAGAGGACAGAGAGAGAGGAGAGAGAGAGGAGAGAGAGAGACCAGAGAGAGAGACCAGAGAGAGAGAGACCAGAGAGAGGAGAGAGAGAGAGGACAGAGAGAGGAGAGAGAGAGAGGACAGAGAGAGAGGAGAGAGAGAGGAGAGAGAGAGAGAGACCAGAGAGAGAGGAGAGAGAGAGGAGAGAGAGAGACCAGAGAGAGAGACCAGAGAGAGAGAGACCAGAGAGAGACCAGAGAGAGAGAGAGACCAGAGAGAGAGGAGAGAGAGAGGAGAGAGAGAGGAGAGAGAGAGAGACCAGAGAGAGAGGAGAGAGAGAGGAGAGAGAGAGACCAGAGAGAGAGACCAGAGAGAGAGAGACCAGAGAGATGAGAGAGAGAGAGGACAGAGAGAGGAAGAGAGAGAGAGGACAGAGAGAGAGGAGAGAGAGAGGAGAGAGAGAGAGACCAGAGAGAGAGGAGAGAGAGAGACCAGAGAGAGAGGAGAGAGAGAGAGGACCAGAGAGAGAGGAGAGAGAGAGAGGACAGAGAGAGGAGAGAGAGAGAGGACAGAGAGAGAGGAGAGAGAGAGGAGAGAGAGAGAGACCAGAGAGAGAGAGGAGAGAGAAAGAGAGACCAAGAGAGAGAAGAGAGAGACCAGAGCGAGACCAAGAGAGAGACCAGAGAGAGAGGAGAGACCAGAGAGAGAGGAGAGACAGAGAGAGACCAGAGCGAGACCAGAGAGAGAGACCAGAGAGAGAGGAGAGCGAGAGGACAGAGAGAGAGACCAGAGAGAGAGGAGAGAGAGAGAGAGACCAGAGAGAGAGGAGAGAGAGAGAGACCAAGAGAGAGAGAGAGAGAGAGACCAGAGCGAGACCAGAGAGAGAGAGAGAGAGAGGAGAGAGAGGAGAGGAGAGAGAGAAGAGAGACCAGAGAGAGAGGAAGAGAGAGAGACCAGAGAGAGGGAGAGAGAGAGAGAGACCAGAGAGAGAGGAGAAGAGAGAGACCAGAGAGAGAGAGGAGCGAGAGAGACCAGAGCGAGACCAGAGAGAGAGGAGAAAACAACCCAGAGAGACCAAGAGAGACCAGAGAGCGAGACGGAGAGAGAGAGAGATAGGGGCCCCTACCCCCAGGGAGAGAGAGAGAGGAGGAGAAGACCAAGAGGAGAGCCGTGAATATAAACCAGGGGAGGAGGGCCCCCCAGTCAGAGGAGGGGGAGGGGGGGAGAGGGAGGGGAGAGGTGGGGAGAGGGGCGGAGGGAAGACCCCCACCCCCACTCCCCCGCACAACCCAGACCAAGACCCCAAGAGCAGGCCGGAAGAGGAAGGGGGAGAGGGAAGAGGGCAGGGAAGCGGGAGCAGAGAGGCAGAGGGGGGGAGGGGAGGGCAGGGAGAGGGGGGGCGGGAGCGCCGCGTCTAGAGGGTAGGGATTCGGGTCGGAGGCGGCGGGGGGGGGGGGCAGGATAGCGGGAGGGAGGAGGGGGAGAGGGGGGAGAAGAGGGCTCCAGAGGAGACAAGAAAGAGAGGGAGGAGGGGAGAGGAAAATAGAGCAGACCAGCCGCGCGACGACAGGATACATGCCGCCACCCCCAGAGCGGATGGAGGGAGAGCGGGGGGCCGGGGTGGCGCGCAGGTGGCCGGTCGCAGAGGAAGGTTGCGTCTGCACTATTTTGTTAGGGGGGGGCGCAGGCCTTAGATCAGGACCCAGAGTGAGGGAGAGCAGGGGGGGGCGAGTGGGCGAGAAGCACAACCACAACCCACACCGGAGGGGGAAGGGGGGACGGGGGGGGAGGATCCCATCCGCCTCTCTGCCCCCGACCCCCCCCCACCCCCATACCCTCCCACCCCGAACACCCCCCCCCCCGCCCCGACCCCCCCCCACCCATACAGTGTCTTTGAAATGCCAGCCTAGAGAGAGGGGGAGGGAGAAGGAAGGAGAGGCAGAGAGAGAGAGACCCCACCAGCAGTACCAGGCACGCATGAGCAGAGAGGGAGAAGAGAGTGTGGAGAAAGTGGGGTGAAGAGGAGGAGGGGGGGAGGGGTGAGGAGAGGAGGAACTACCATATAGAGAGAGGAGAGAAGTGCATAAAAAGTGTGAAAGAAGAAAAAGGAAAGACCAAACCCGCATGAGAACTGAAAAGGGAGAGGGGGGGTGGGAGGGAAACAAGGAGACAAAGAGGAGGGAACACCCCATCCTGAGAATCCAGATTGAGGGAGCAGGGCTGAATGGAGAGAAAGCAGGAGGGGGCGCGACCATCCACGACAAACCAAACCGATAACTACACAGAAGAGTAGAGGAGGGCGCGACGAAACGAAAGACGGA